CCTGTGCTGCTGGGCTAGCCTCTGTCCGGTCTCACAGCTCCCTTTCATCCTGTGTGAGGACATGGGCCTTCCCTTTTTTTTTTTTTTTTCCTTTTTTTTTAAAAATTATTGTTTTTGTGATTTTTGAGATGCGGTCTCACTCTAGCCTAGGTTGGGCTGGCCTGCTCCTTGTGCTCTTCTTGCGTTACTGTCTAAAGTGCTGGGATAACAGGCATTTGCCTCCACACTCAGCTCCAGACCTGTCTTACGGTGGATGATTTCTGTTCAAAACTCTTTTCATGGCCCCCCCACTGCCTACCCACCACAGCCAAATTCAGCTTCCTGTCTGGCCTCTGCATGCTCTTGCAAGCTTGAAAGTGAAAACTGGCCTGGTTTCTTCACCTGAGTTTCTTTGATTGCGGAGCTCGGACACTTTCCCGCCATTTTTCAGTCACCTGTGTCTCTTTAGTGATTTGACTATACACTATGCTATTTGGGGTGGGGTCGTTTTAAATTAAACTATGTTTACTTACCTATTGTGTGTGGCTCTGCTGGAAGGGGTGCCTATCGGCCACAACACACATGGAGTCAGAGGACAATCTGTGGGAGAGATGGTTCTCGCCTTCCATGTGGGTTCTGGAGACTGAACCCAGACTGCCAGGGTTAGCAGCAAGCGCTACGGCCTACTGAGCTATCTCGACGGAGCTAGTTTTTTGAGACAGGGTCTCACCATATAGCCCAGGCTGGCCTCAAACTAGCCACAGTCCTCGTGCTTCAGCCTTACAAGTGCTGAGATTACAGCACTGTCTGTCATGCTCAGCCCAATTTTGCTCAGTTTTACATTGAACATTCATATTTCCTTATTGATCTGCAAAGGCTTTTTAGAATATTGCCCTCTTGTCCATTATGCACTACAAATATTTTTCTCAAGTATGTTGATTGGCTTTTACTTTATTTTTATTGATATGTTGAAAGTATACCTCAGTAAAATTAGAATGATTTCTGACTTTCTTGTTATGCTTGGCTGTCTGTTCCCACCAAAGGCTATAACCAATTATGCATGTGTTCTTTTAGTACTCAGGACTTAAATTTTTATGTGCATGAGTGTTTTGTCTGCATTTGTGTCTCTGCACTACCTATGTTCCTGGTGCCTACAGAGGCCAGAAGAGGGTGTTAGATTCTCCTAGAACTGGAAACAGATGGGGGCCATCATGTGGGTACTGGCAATTGAACCTAGGTCCTCTAGAAGAAGGTGCTCTTAATTACTGAACCATCTTGCCAGTCCCCATAATATATTTTAAATAAAGGTTTTATATTATTATTATTATTATTATTATTATTATTATTATTATTATTATTATTACTATTATTATTTGGTTTTTTGAGACAGGGGTTTCTCTGTGTAATAGCCCTGGCTGTCCTGGAACTCACTCTGTAGATCAGGCTGGCCTCGAACTCAGAGATCCGCCTGCCTCTGCCTCTCGAGTGCTGGGATTAAAGGCATGGGCCACCACCAGGTTTACACAAGGGTTTTAACCAAATCACCCTGCCACCACATCTGACAAAAACTGGGAACTGTGTAAATACATCAGGCTGTCCCTTTCACACTTAGATTCTGTCTCCTTTAAAAAAGATTTATGCCGGGCGGTGGTGGCGCACGCCTTTAATCCCAGCACTCGGGAGGCAGAGCCAGGCGGATCTCTGTGAGTTCGAGGCCAGCCTGGACTACCAAGTGAGTTCCAGGAAAGGCGCAAAGCTACACAGAGAAACCCTGTCTCGAAAAACCAAAAAAAATAAAAAAAAAAATAAAAAAGATTTATTTCATTTTAACTTACGTGCTGTGGGATGTTCTGTATGGCAAATGTGTTGCTGATTAGTCAATAAATAAAACACTGATTGGCCATTGACTAGGCAGGAAGTGTAGGCGGGACAAGGAGGAGAATAAAGCTGGGAAGTGGAAGGCTGAGTGAGAGAGAGAGACACTACCAGCCGCCATGATGACAAACAGCATGTGAAGATGCCGGTAAGCCACGAGCCATGTGGCAAGGTATAGATTAATGGAAATGGATTAATTTAAGCTGTAAGAACAGTTAGCAAGAAGCCTACCACGGCCATACAGTTTGTAACCAATATAAGTCTCTGTGTTTACTTGGTTGGGTCTGAGTGGCTGTGGGACTGGCGGGTGAGAGAGATTTGTCCTGACTGTGGGCCAGGCAGGAAAACTCTAGCTACACTTACGTGTTTGTGTCTGTGTGTAGGAATAAGCGTGAGAGTGTAGGGGCCCGGGGAGACCAGAAGAGAGAGGCAGAGCCTCTGGAGCTGGCGTCAAAGGGGGTGGTTATGAGCTGCCCAACATGGGAGCTAGGGACCAAACTCGGATCCTCTGGAAGGTCAGCAAGCACTCTTAGCTGACGAGCCATCTCTGCACCCACTTCTCTTTGGAGATAGGGTTTCACGTAGCCAAGGCTGGCCTTCCATTCCTGACCTCCCTGCCTCCATCTCCAAAGTGCGAAGCTGCCAGGACTTCGGTGCCACACCCGACTTAACTGGCTAAACCTCCTTCTTTCATTTTAAACAAATGTTTGGTAATTGATGTTGGCGAACAACTCAGCTGGGAAAGCACATGTCTCACATACACAAGCACCGGGTTCAATTCCCAGCACCACGTCAAAAATCTAAAGCCATGAAATGCTTAGTAATTGTGCCGGTATCACTGTCCTCTAAGTATACTGAAATCTAAAGACTAGCCAATAGAAGTAAATTCAAAAAATGGCTTTCTAGAAAACATCAATAATAGATAGATAGATAGATAGATAGATAGATAGATAGATAGGACAAGAACACATATATAACACTATAACGAGAAGAGGGATGTGACTTGCATGCAGATATTTTTTTTTCAATTATGGAAATACTACTAGGTATAACTCTTGGCTCAAAATCTTGAAAATCTGAATGAGCTGAATGCTTTCCTAGAAAAATATAAAACTTCAAACTGACTGGATAAGAAACAGAAGACCTTAAACAGGCATGGTGGCACATGCCTGTATCCCAGCACTCAGGAGGCAGAGGTAGGAGCATCTCTGTGAGTTCAAGGCCAGCCTGATCTACAGAGCAAACTCCAGAACAGCCAGGGCTACACAGAGAAACCCTCTCTCCAAAAACAAACAAACAAAAAAAAAAAAAAAAAAAAAAAAGAGAAAAGAAAAAGAAACAGAAGACCTGAATAGATTCGCTATCACAGGCAAGACAGACGAAGCTGGCCATTGTGGAGAATTCCTCTGAAATTGAAACATTCTATCCTGGGGGGAGGCTTTAAGCTAGAAGGCGAAAAACTCAAAATAGCTCCAGCAAGTCTGAAACTGACCAGATTCATTAGGCCCCTCCCTCCCAGAATAAACAAGGAAAACCGCTGAGTCACTCTCAGACAAGCTGAGCTCAAAGACCCGGAGACCCCACCAGCTGCCTGCCAGAAGCAGAAACCAGCTGTGCTGTCTGGAAGACGTTTAGACCAACTGAGTCACTTGGAAAAGACACTCTGCAGCCTGTGGAGCTGCCTGCAGGCTGTGGAGCACGCTCCGGTGCCCCAGCTTTGCGAGCTGTCACTCAGGCTGGGGTGGGCTTTGGTGATGCAGCTGTCTGAGTCATTTTTGCTCCTGTAAGTGACCCCTCACCCATATTCTGTAAGTAACCCCAATAAAACTCATTGCTTCACCAAGTTGGACTTGGGTGGTATCCATACTTTGATCTGTTGCTGGCTCCCTATCAGGGGTGAGTAGACGTGTATAGTGTCTCCCCAAGAAAAGTTTGTCACACAACAGTGGGCCTGAGATCCCAAGTTCACATACCCAGCTGGTGGGGAGCCGGGCTGTTCGGACCTGCAAAGGGCAGCAGCCTCCTAAGCGTGCTTCCAACCCTCTCCCTGTCCCTGCCCACTCTTGAAGAACATTTTTTTTTCAGCCTTCATAGCACCCTACTAGCCAGGCTCCAAGAAATCAAGGAGAGGGTAAAGCCTGGGAGTGGCAGGCCTGTGGGTGAGCACCTGGGTGGGTGAGAACAGGGGCTACTCATATCCCAGTAGCTCTTTACCCCAGCAGACACTCCGAAGCTGCCCTCCACCTGCTGCACCCCAGAAATGACTGTGAATCGTTCTTGAGAATATTCCTGTCTAGACTTTGCACACCTCCGCATGAGTGTGAAGCTTTCTCTGAATGCAAGCAAGAAGGTGATAGGGGGTTGGGAAGACGGCTCAGCGGGTAAGCGCTAGCCGGGCAAGTGTGAAGATCAGAGTTCAGATCCCCAGAAACCCCCATAAATGCCTGGCGGGCATGGCTGCCTGCCTGTGATGCCAGCATCAGAAGGCAGACACACAGGTTCCCCAGAGCAAGTTGGGTTTCAAGACCAGACACCAGACAGCTCCAGGTTTGAAAAAGTCTGCCTCAGTTTCTAAGGTGAAAGAGTGATGGGGATGACTCTTAACAGCAACCAACTTTGGACCATTGCATGTGGGCATGCGCACACATACCTGAATGACACACATACAAAAATGTACACATACGCAAACACACACACACACACACACACACACACACACACACACACGAACAAAGGGGGAAAAGGTGATGGAAGGTAGTGTGGGACGAGAAAAAGAAAAAAAATGACAATCGAGTTTCATCATCTATTTCGATTCCAGCCTGTCTGTACTCTGTACTCTGAGCCCCGGGGGGAGACTAGTCAGATCCTCATTTGTGCTCTGGTTCTCCCAACTTAACAACTACTGCAGCCCTGAGAACCGCCCCCCACCCCCGTTTCTGCCTGGCTCTATCCCTTGCCACACTGCTTCTCTCATCCAAAAACGCCGCCGATCTCAGGGTGCCTTTCTATCCAAGCCCAACTTAAGGTTTTCTTTGGCTAGGATTCCACAGGCTGAACTCACTGGAGGGATTTTACTCGTTTATTATTTATTTATTACGTTTAGGCTTTCAGGCCCATCTCAGCGGAGTGTCTCCAATCAGTCTCACCTGTGGCCACTGCAGACGCACGGGCGGTCTCACTCTGTGGCGTCCGCTGCTGAGTCCTGCAGCAGACATTATTACTTCAACTGCTCACTATGTGGTCATGGCAGCATCTCTGCTTTTCTTCGGTGAGCTGCCCCTTCACACTCCACGTGCCTCTGGCAGGCCTACCATATGCCTAGGAAGTGGAGACATGACCTAGTCCCACTTCCTTGGTTATAGTGACTGACCCAGGAATGGGTATGTACATTCCTCAAACCGAGCCACTGGGGTCCTTCACTGGGAAATGGGGGGAGGGGTGCCCCTTTCCTTTTGTGGTCACATGCTAGGATGAAGCACTCTAAGAAACTGTGCACTCTCCACTGAAGTATGGATGAGAAAAAGGACGTCAGTGGCTCAGACTGCCTGACCACACAGAGGAAGTCCATGCATGGAGGGAAAAACATGCAAACACCCAATGAGGTGGAGCCAGGAGCTGGAGGGTCAGCCCCACTTTCCTGAGAACCTGGATGCAGTTATGCCAAAGGCCCATTCATCTACCCTCCTCATAGTTACCGGAAGTGTGAAGATATTTTATCGTTGAAAATAAAACTGGGGGCTGGTGAGATGCACAGCAGATAAAGGTTCTTGTCACCAAGCCTGATAACCCGAGTTTGATCCCCAGGACCCACATATGGAACTGTCCTCTGACCTCTCTCTTCTACGGCCGTAGTACATATATGTATACACACACAACACACACAAAATAATGTAATTTAAAAACTAAATAACATTGGATTTACCACTTATAATAAAACCCTCTTCTCTAAGCCGGGCAGTGGTGGCATACACCTTTAATACCAGCACTCCGGAGGAAGAGGCAGGAGGATCCTTTGAGTTCGATGCCAGCCTGGGCTACTGATTGAGTTCCAGGAAAGGCTCCAAAACTACACAGAGAAACCCTGTCTTGAAAACCCAAACCAAACCAAAACAAAACGAAACCATCCCTCTTCTTACCTAATCAATCAGTCTACACTTCTTACCTAAGCTGTAGTTAAACATGAATTCATTCTGTGTCCACTTACTGAGCAACTGTTCAGCGCCATGCACTACACGGGTGTTGTGCTAGGCATATGCATGTCACACAGATAAACAAGATCCAGTCCTTTCCTCCAAGTAGCTGGTGATGTCCTGAGGCAAACTTGGGTAGAAGATGATATGGTCAAAACAGTATGGGAGATGAACAGAAATCTCTGTGATTAAGAGCACACACTGCTCTTACAGAGGACCTAAATTCAATCCCCAGTACCCACTTCAGGTAGCTCATAACCACATCTAACTGTGGCTCCAGGGGCTCTGATGATCTCTTCTGACCTAAAGGAAAATGCAAACCCCACATCCACATAATTAAAAGAGTTGGGTACGGTGGCACAAGCCTTTAATCCTGGTGTCTGGGAGGTAGAGGCAGGTGGATCTCTGTGAGTTCAAAAATCAGCCTGTTTTACATAGCAAGGTCCAGGCCAGCCAGGGCTACAGAGTGAGACCCTGTCTCAAAACAGAACAAAACAAAAACCAAAAAGCAAACAAACAAAAAAACCGGGGGCAGGGGCTGAAGGGATGGTTCAGTAGTTAACAGCACTTGTTGCTCTTCCAAAGGACCCGATGGAGGCTCACAACTGTCTGTAACTCCAGTTCCAAGGATTCTGAAGCTTGCTTTTGGCCTCCACAGACACATGTAGTGCATATATACAGACATACGTGCAGGCAAAACATGCATGTACTTAGTAATAATTGTAATACAAAACAAACATAAAGCTATTTGGACCTTTGCAGTATGTAGCCTGAAATACATTATTGGGGATAGTAAGATCATTCAGTGGGTAAAGATACGTGCTACAATCCTGATAACTGGGGTCCACATGGTGGACTTTCCACATGGTGGAAAGAGAAAATGGACTCCCACAAGTTGTCCATATGCACATCCAATTGCATGCGCCTACACACAAATGAGTGCAATTAAAAAAATTAAACACATTACTGGCCAGATGTAGTGTCAATGCCTGTAACCCCAGCAGTTTCAAGGCAGAGGCAGAAGGATTATGAGTTTAAAGTCATTTACAGCTACATAGCAAGTTTGAGGTCAGCCAAAGCTACATAAAAACATGTCTCGGGCTGGAGAGATGGCTCAACGGTTGGGAGCACTGGCTGCTCTTCCAGAGGTCCTGAGTTCAATTCCCAGCAACCACATGGTGGCTCACAACCATCTGTAATGGGATCTGGCACCCTCTTCTGGCCGTGCAGGCAGAACACTGTATACATAATAAATAAATCTTTAAAAAAAAAAAAAAAAAAAACATGTCTCAAAATTTTATTTAACTTAAACGTTAAAAAAAATTAGGCTTAAATTGGGCAGTGGGTGGTGAATGATTTTAATCCTGGCACTTGGGAGGCAGAGGCAGGTGGATCTCTGAGTTCAAGGCCAGCCTGGTCTACAGGGCAAGTTTCAGGACAGCCAGGACTACACAAAGAAACCCTGTCTTGAAAAAAAAACAAAACAAAACAAAAACAAACAACAACAACAAAAACAACCGAACAAAAAATTAGGCTTACTTATTTCTACTTTATGTGTATGAGTGTTTTGCCTGAATATGTATCAGTGCACCAAGTGTGTGCGGAATCCTTGGAGGGCAGAAGAGAGCATCAGACCCCCTGGAACTGCAGTTGTGATGGTGTGAGCCACCATGTGGGTGGGTTCTCTGCAAGAGCAACAAGCACTCTTAACATTTAGTCATCTCTCCAGCCCCACACAGACACATTAAAAAAAAATAATACTGGAAAAGCAAGCCCAGGGTGGCAATGTAGAGAAAGAAAAGAGGGAGGTGGAGGGGAAAATGGAACCTTCAAGAGACAGAGGAGAGAGAGAAGAGCCAAGAACTTCTCGGGAACCAACAGCAGAAACAGGAGTTCCAGCCGGAAACTTGGGGAGGTGCGGATGTAATCTGGAAGGAGTGGGCAAGCTCACACTGGCCTGGAGCTGAGGAGGGCCCACTGGGGACTGCTAAGATGGCTGCTTGAATGAGCCTGGCTGCTGTGGGCATGGCACTGAGTGGACAGGAGTTCCCTGTGCTGAGGCAGTGTGGGAGAATCCAGGAGCATTTTTTTAAGATTAGAGAATGAACATCTTAGAGATAACCCACTTCCGTAGGTCAGAGATACAAATAAGGTCTTGGGCCTGAAGCCACGCTAAGGTGCCCTTTCCTTTCTCCTTCCCTCTTCTTCTTCCTCCTCTTTTTCCCTTTAAACTCAAAATGAATTTAGAAGGAATCAGTAGAGAATGAAATGGGTTCTGTCTCAGCGGCTAACACTAAACTCACAATTCCAATGTACACACTACAAAACCGGCCTCTCCTACAATTCTCAACCAACAGCCGCATTATCTGCTCAGCACCCTGGACAGCGACTCGCCTCTGGGCTCTCTCTTCTGTCCACCCTTGTCCACACGATCTGCTATGGTTGACTTCCTTTTCCTGTAGGCACGGCTGCCGTGCAGACCTCGATCCTCATCTGTGTGGACTCTAACTCACTCATCTGACAATCCTCATGACTTCTGAAGCTTTTTGCAAGTATCTACCCAGTCATGTATGTCCCTTATAACGTAAAATAGGGGCTGTGGAGAAGGGCTTGCTTCAGGAGCATGAAGTCCTGAATTCAGATCCTCACACAAAAAGTTCAGTGTGGCAGTGTGCATCTATAATACCAGAACTGGGAAGGCAGAGACAAAAGGATCGCTGTAAATCAATGGCCATCCAGCTTAGCCAAACTAGTGAGTTCTAGGTTCAATAAGAGACCCTGGCCGGGCGGTGGTGGCGCACGCCTTTAATCCCAGCACTCGGGAGGCAGAGCCAGGAGGATCTCTGTGAGTTCGAGGCCAGCCTGGTCTCCAAAGCGAGTTCCAGGAAAGGCGCAAAGCTACACAGAGAAACCCTGTCTCAAAAAAAAAAAAAAAAAAAAAAAAAGAGACCCTGTTTGCTTTAAAAAAAGGGGGGCAGGGGAGGGGGAAGAAAAAGAAAACATCGAACACATGTACACATACACATACATGAATATATACACACATCTCTCTCACACACACCAAAAAAAAGGTAAAATAATCTCTGAAGAATGAATGGCCTCTTCCTTCTCCTTCTTTAAGATAGGTTCTTATGTAGCCCAGGCTGGTCTCAAACTTGCTGTGTAGCTGAGGACGATCTTGAATTTCCGATCCTCCTGCTTCCACCTCCTGGATGCTAGGATAGTTCTAGCAACCAAATACAGGGCTTGGTGCATGCTAGGCAAGCATCAACAGATCCCCAGCCCAGCCACTCAGAAGCGAAGTACACCTGCCATACTTGTCATCAAGGGTGGCTCATGCTGACCAGCTCTCGGCTTTGCCAGCACCAACTTTTGTCTCTGCTCCTGTTCCACATAAACTGTCAGTGAGCCCCATGAGGGTTCTGCTCCACTGGAGAGCACTGGGCCCTGTCACATCCTCAGGTCTAGCCCCATGCTGGTCTCCCTTCTTAGAACTCTGTTCTCCAACTGGTGAGTTTTGTAGACCCAGCTCAAATGCCACCTTTTCCACCCTGACACCCTCCTCCACCTCAATCCCCGGCACAGCACAAATCCTCCCTTACTATAAACTCCCAAGACAGCAGGTCCCATACCTGGGGATCATTGACCTGCACATACATCGGGTCCTTCATTACTTATATTCTGCAGGCAGAGACACTACAAATGACCATCTTCACAGAGTATGCACTAGTATATTAGTATATTAGAGGAGTTACCAAATCATAGATAAATTAGATTTCATGCAGCCAAAGCAATTTTCTAAAATGAATTTTTAGAAAGATTTATTTTGTAGGTGTGTTTTGCCTGCACGTATGTGCATTTCTGATCAGAAGAGGGCACTGAATCTCTTGGGACTGGAGTTTCAAACAGTTGTGAGTCATCGTATGAGTGCTGGGAACTGAACTCAGGTCCTCTGCAGGAGTGTCTAGTGCTCTCAACTGCTGAGCCATGTCTCCATTGCTCAACCAAGGCAAGTTTTGACACTCACCATCATGCAAGTAGAGAAACTGGCTACATCAATCCAAGAATGAACTTGTAAAGCACGATAGCTCCCTAGTCACTTACTAGGAGGTCAGAGCTCACTGTCTTCTCATTCCCATGGTCTGCTCTAGTTGAGCTGAGGTTTTGGGATCACCTGCTTTATTCTGTATGCCACATGCCCAATGCAAGTTGCCAGTCAAGCCCAGGGTCACAGGTGCCCCCAATGTAAGAAAACAGTGAACCTGTGTCTATCTAATCATTATTTCTGGGACATCATCGTGCTCACAAACAATGCTACCAAGGAGGTGGAATGCTTCGATTCTGGAATGAGGAAGCAAAGGCTCAGATTGCCTGTGGCCAATAAAGACCTGTAACAAATTGGTGCCGCATGAGGACCTCTGATGAATCAAGTCTTCTAGTGTTGCCCTCCCACACTGATTCATGGCATGGCCAGATGGACATCAGCAAGCTTCGTGCGAGCAGAAGTCAGATACGTCGTTGTACATCAGGACATGTCATCTTGGAATGCTCCCTCTTAGCGAGCCTTGGGATCCAGCTGCTAGATCCCAGCTGTCTAGAATTATCTGAGGCTACTGTGGAAGGAGGCCTTGGGGGCTGAGAGACCACCTTGAGAGGCTGTGTATGTGATTCCAGGTGAGATCCTCAGATCCCATAGCCACAGCCACAGGCGAGTCATAGACCAAATAGTGTCACTGTTAGTGGTGACCTGCCTGGAATCCTAAATAATTGATTGATAGGCAGATTGCAACTTTAAGCCTAATGGTAGATCATTTGCCTAGTATGTGCAAGGTCTGGAGTTCAGTTCTCAGCACTGAAATAAGTAAACAAACAAATAAATAATTGCTATTCAAAGTTTCCAAATTCTGAGGGTGTTTGGTACATAGTAGTGAGTAACTAAAACAGTGACAAACAAGGATTTGAACACAGCACTTCCTGACTGAGAGTGGGATGTTCATACCAATCCTGAGATGTTCTCAGGAGGATGGGCCCACGGTGACACTTGGTGAGTATTTGTTGAATATACAAAGCTTTATCAGAGAGGAAGGAAGGTCTGGGAAACACAGAGGCAAGATAACTACTACATTTTGACGACCTTCACCACCCCTTACAAATACTCCCCTTCCCTAAAAGGTAGGCATGCCTAAGTGTAGGAACAAATGTGTACACTTCACAGCTCTCTGTCCCACCAGCTGTATTCAGATCAGGCAAAATTGAAAAGCTAGCATAGTTTGTCGGTTTTTGGGTGATGCCCCCACATGGCCCCCAACTTCCTGCCTGACCTACCCGTGACATCCTCTCACCCTCCCACTTGGCCTTCAGAGCCCGAGAGCACTTCCCTCCTCCTCCTCCCATGTAAAACCCACATAGAGGAAAGAAGCAGAGGAACTGGAAATCACACAAACGAGGGAGGAAGGTTTAGGTGTTGTTAGAAGGACTTAGAAGCCCAAAGAGCTCTAAACTAGGTGTTTTCAGGAGGCCTCTGCCAGCAGGTGGAGGCATTCTGAGGATGAAGAGGCTGCTGGAGGTGTCCACATTATACCCCCATTATGCCCCAGTGGGTGGAGAATAAAGGAATGCCCTGCCTGTCTAAAGCCTCCCAACCCTCCAAGAAGCCCAGGCCTCGGCTCTGCAGCTACAACCCCAAACTGGGTGCCTGCAGAAGAGCTCCCCAGCCTGGTAAAGACCTACAGGAGTCAATACAGCCGCCCTGCCACACTGCCTTCTGTTCTAAGCACCCCCTCTTGTGGTCCTGCAAACATGCACACGCCTCCCAAGGTCACACACACAAGCTCCAGCACCTGGATCCCACACCCGGAAAACCGTATGAGCCCCTCACCGCAGGCTCAACCAAAGGGAGGGAATAGGCCTCACTCGGTTCTCTAGGCAGACTGTGGGCAGTGCACACAGTATCACACACACATGCAAGGCGATGGAGTGGAGCCCACACCTCCGGAGATACTGTGGGCACAGTCACCCGCACAGGCACTGGGGTGTGGGGAGGCAGAAACATGCATGCACACATATGAACACCTCCAGACGATCACACGTGCACATCGGCACGCACGGACAACGGTACAGATGCCCTGCCAGGCCTCGGGACCAAGACCCTCCCCCATGCCATCACCAGCAGGTGGAGAGGGCTGGGGTTTCGGGGCACTCCCCCTTCTCCCTCTCTAAAGTCCAGAGTCCCAGTGGGTTTTTTTTTTCTGGAGCCCGCCCCCGCCCCACAACAAGGCTAGGGCAGCGACAGGCGGGAGGGGGGAGGGGAAGCCTGGTCTCAAACCCGTTCTGATTTTAATTTCTTAAATTAACCCCTTGGCTGCCTGAAGCCTGGCCTGCCCAGAATCCCTCCCAGTTCTGGCGGCCTCGCGGCCTCAGGAGGGCAGCAGGATAGAAGGCACGGAAGGAGGGTGCAGCGGCTGAGGTCCTCCCCGCCTAGCCTCTCCAGGAGCAATCCCGCAGCGCGCCCCAGACTTGCCCTTACCTCCTCCAGTCCGCGGCAAGGCAAGGCACCGCGGCCCTGGGCTGGGGGAGCAGAGGCATAGACCCCGCGTGCCCGGTCCAGACGCAGGGCCGCCACCGGGCCTCGGATCTTGGTCCCCACTGAAGCCTAGGCTGGCCGCCGCCGCCTCCCAGTTGGGGCGGGGGCGGCCGAGTCCCCCAGCCCCGCGCAACGGGAGGGGTTCGCGATGCGATCACGGGCGGGGTACGCAGGGAGGAGGGGAAGAGAGGAGGGGGCGCTCGGCCCGGGCGCAGCCAGGAGACAGGGAGGGAGGCGGCAGGGAGGTGGGGCGGAGCCGGCCCCTCCTCCGGGGCGGGCTCTCCAGCAAGCGGGGAGCAGCAGATGCAGCCAGGAGCGGCTGCGCCGGGACCCCACGTTTTCCGCAGAAGCTGGTGGCTCGGGTGGGGGATGGGTGCCGCCGGGGCGGGGGCGGGGGCGGGGGTGCAGCCCTCTCCACTCCAAGGACCACCACTCAGGCATTCCTGTGCCTCGGAGCTTCCAGCTGTGGCCTCTGCTGCCCACCTTCAATCAGGGCCTATCCACCCTAACCCACCCCCAACAGGCTTGGCCTGCACCCAGTGGGGAGCCCATCTTGGATGGGTGGTTCTGAGGAAAAGGCTGGCACGGGCCCTACGACACACACCACAGTTCTTCAGCGGCCTCTTGGGCTCTGAGCCCAAGTACTGGCCGTGTGCCCAAGTGCGGGTTGTGCACTCTGTGACTTCAGGTCGGAGGTGTGGTCTTTGGGAAGATTTGGCTGCAGCTGGGCCACACTGTGTTGTGTTCCTGTACCTAATGTTGCACTTACGGTGTCGCCCCCATCCTCTCGTGGACCTACAAACGGAAAGAAGCAGGGAATATGCACTGGTTTGCTCCAGACAAATCCACCACTTCCAGGATGCTCAACCCTGAAGCATCTAGAAGGCCCCTCACCCTTGGCTTCAGGCCTACCTAGCTGCTGGGGTAGGCACACTCCATGCCGAAAATTGTCCTGTGCTAGAGGAAGTCCTCAGGGCTGAAGTTGAGCTGGAAAAAGAAAAAAAAAAAAAAAAAAAAACAGCAAACGCCCCCTTGGGCAAGGCCAGGAATGAACTGAGCTTTGGATGAGGAAAAGGGAGATGGTATTTCTACCACACAGTGGTGCCCCAGCTGGGCTGCACCAGGGCCTGTAGCAGAGCAAAACGCCAACATAGCTCCAGGACTCTCCAGTAAATTGGAGGCTTTGGATGACTACCACTGATCCCATCCCACTCCTGTGAGGACAGAGGCCCCAGGGACGTGCAGTACCGGGGAGGGGTCTGTAGACCTGTCAGGTGATTTAGGGGGAAGGATAAATCTAACAAGAATTGTACAGTGGCCAAGCAGATGAAGCGCCCTCTCCTTTTCTTCCTGAAGCTCTGATGTCTTTCCACCTGCAGGAAGTCTTAGAGTGATAAGGGAAATCACTTCTTCTAAGACTTAAATAAGTTCCTGTCAATCGTGAACCAGGCATCATGATCATGCTAATCATCTTCATACACATCATTCACTTTCCAATAGAGTGACCAAGCAGAAACTATTCTTTGTATTTATGTACATTGGTGTTTGCCTGCATGTCTGTCTGTACACAGGTATCAGGTCCCCTGGAACTGGAGTTACAAACAGTTGTGAGCTGCCATGTGGTTGCTGGGAATTGAACCCCAGTCCCCTGGAAGAGCAGCCAGTGCTCTTAACCTCTGAGCCATCTCTCCAGCCCCAGAAACTATTTTTATCCCCACTGTGATGGTTCATCCTCTGTCAACTTGACTGGGTTTGTAATCACCTATGGGTCTGTCTGAAAGGGGGTTTAGAGAGAAGTTTAATTGAGAAGACCCTCCCTGTGGGCAGCACGGTCCCATGCCCTGAGGTCCCAAACTGAATTAAAAGGAGGAAGTGAGTTAAACACCAGCATTCACTGCTGTCTCCTTCTCACTGGGGACACAATGTGAGCAGCTGCCAAATACTCCCACTGCTGTGCTTTCCTGGACATGCTGGATGGTGTCTTATCAAACGGGGAGGCAGAATAAGCCCTTCCTGCCAAGTTGCTCACATCATGGTTTTTGGCACAGAAATGATAAAATGCACCCACTTCTGCAGGAGAGGCTAAAGTTCAGAGGTCAAGGAATGGCAGGACCAGAACTGGAATGCAAAATACTCAGCCCATCCTCTGGTCAAACCATGCACCCTCACGCCATCTCTCTGCTCCAGTGAAGTTCCCGAACCTGCTCTGTCCAAATGCAGACTTGATTCTTTCACCTGTTTTTGTAGCGAGCCCAAAGTATCTCTATACCGTCCTGGCTCCACCTTTGTTATGATATTGCCCTTGTGATGACTATACAAAAACCATTTACAGCACAGAGTGTGCTTGTTTGTGTTTTGTGTATGTGTACACATGGATTTGTATGGATACGGAGGTACACACCGGTGGCTGTGCAAGTATATAGAGATGCACATGTGTATGGTTATGTATGCATGTGGATGTACATGTGTGTATGTGAAGGTGGGTGTGCTGTCCTTATGCACATAAGTACACACATGAATTCCGACATGTGCACACATATATGCATGTGCGCATGTGTGACCATGCTATATTTCACAGACAACAGTTCCTGCTTGGTTGTTATGGGAACCACTGTTCTAAAAATGTGAATCTCACTCCATGTGGGCCAGAGAAACCAAAAGAGCGAGTGCTCAGTGACAACCCCATCTAGGGCTCCCAAGGCTAAGGCAGGGAATCATGAATTACGAATCAGGCAGTCCCAGCTGGTGAGAGGTATAGTACGGTCCCACTCCCCGGATCCCACGGTGTGCCAGGGCCTCCATCCTGCCGCTTTTCATCTCCCCGTCTTTCCCAGCTTCATGCCCTCCGGCTACCACCCTTCTGTCTTCCTCTTCCGTGAACTAGTCAGAACAGTGTGATTCAATCTTTAAGTGGACTGGGTCGACTTGGTGAGCTGGAGGTTGTGTGGATCAAACATCTACCTCAGAGGGAAGATTTGGGTATTAGATTGGAAAGGAAGAGGATAAAGAGGTGATGGAGGGGCCGGGCAGTGGTGGCGCACGCCTTTAGTCCTCAGCACTCGGGTGGCAGAGCCAGGTGGATCTCTGAGTTCGGGGCCAGTCGGGGCCAGAGCGAGATCCAGGACAGGCACCAAAACTACACAGAGAAACCCTGTCTTGGAAAAAAAAAAAAAAGGACAGAGAGATGAGAGAGGAAGGTGAATTCAGATGTGGAAGGGTTTACCCTCACGGTGTATGTGGTTGTTTTTTAAAAGACTTATTTTTGGTTACATGTATGTTTGTGTGTGCATATGTGTGTAGGTGCCCTCAGTGGCCAGAAGAGAGCGTGAGCTCTGGAGCTGGAGTTACAGGTGGTTATCAGCTGCCACGTGGGTTCTGGAAACTGAACTCAGGTCCATTCCGGTAGCAAGAAGTTCTTTTAACTACCGAGCCATCTCTAACCTTTATGTGTGCGATTTTGTTTTGTTTTTGAGACAAGGTCTCTCTGTGGGGCCTTAGCCCTGGCTGTCCGGGGACTCACCGTGCAGAAGAGGCTGTCCTCAAACGGACAGAGATCCACTTTGCCTCTGCCTTCTGAGTGCTAAGATTAAAAGCATGTGTCACCATGCCCCACGCGTATGTGACTTTAAACTGTTTATTTAGTGTGTATACATACATGCGAGTGTGGGCTCATGTGTGTCATGGCTTGTGTGTGGAGGTTAGAGGAGTAATTTCTCTCCTTCCATTCTGTCAAGGCAGGGTCTCTCTTGCCCTGCCGCTGGTGCCCTGCATACTCCATGCTAGCTGCCCATGAACTTCCAGGCAATTCTTCTATGGTTTCCTTGTCTCCAACTCCTATTTTATTGGGGGGAGTGCTGGGATGACAGGTTTGTGCCACTGTGTCTGGCTTTTGAAGTGGGTTGGGGGCAATACACTCAGGCCATCAGTCTTCGTGGCTGGTAGCACCTTCTACGCCGAGAGCCATCTCCTTGGCCCAGGTATATGTATTTTGGTCAGTCTGACACTATCATGTCATGAATGATGTTCTAAGGAGTTTCTAGCATGAGCACAGTGTAATGGAATGGAAGGAGATATCATGAATCAGAGAAACAAGAGGCACAGTTAGGTAGTTCAAACTGGTTTATACTGGTCTTCTTTCAAGCAGGAACAGGGGTTGTTGGCTAGGATGAAAGGAAAGGGCAGAGCAAATGTTCTAGACTGTTTTGTCCAAGTCTTCCAGATCCTACCTCATCAATTCTTATTTCCAGGCCTGAGGATGTGGCTTATTGGTTAGAGTGCTTGTATACCATACAGGAGGCCTTGGGTTAGATTCATGCAGATAGACAGCTATGTAGATAGAGAGATGCAAACTTTTAAAAAGGGTGAGAGATTGAGAAAGAGAAAAATGTCAGCACAAAAGCATGAGGTGTTGAGTTTACCCCCTGGAAGGCCTGGGGAGGGCTTGTACTGCCTGTAGATCCTTTGGAGAAGGAGGAGAGCTGCCTCTGAAAAATTGTAACTACTTATATCTGCTTGGAACAGGAACTCCAAGTAAAGAAACTCCAAAAGATTCAGCTGGGTGTGGTGTGGCATGTCTGCAAAACAGGAACTCCAAGTAAAGAAACGCCAAAAGATTCAGCTGGGTGTGGTGTGGCATGTCTGCAAAGCCAGCGCCGGGGACACAGAGACCACACAGCGAGCTTGAGGAAAGCCTGGGTCACATGAGACCCTGTCCCAAAAGAACAAGAAACGAAAGACTGATTACCACTGGGGCTCATGCTCTTAGAGTACCGGGTTAGGGAAACATACCTTCAACCTCTGCCACAGAGTGCTGTTGCCCAGGTCAATCCCCAATGCCTGGTGAGCTCACAAGCTAAAAGCCATAACTCATAAAACTACTGATCACAAGGACAGCAAACAGGACGTAGAAGAATGAGAACAGGAGTCCAGAGAGACACTGGCTGCTCTGGCAGAGGACCTGGATCTGATTCCCAGCACCTACATGGTGGCTACCAACTGCCTGTAACTCCAGTTCCAGGCGATCCAACGCTCTTTTGACCTCTTCAGGCTGCTGCATGCACATGGTGCACAGACATATACTCAGGCACACACGTGTGCACGTAAAATAAAGTAAATAAATACTTAAAAAAAGAAGAATGCTGATAAGGTCCATCAGGTGTAAGCAACAGTCTGGACATGTGGATAGGGGAACAGCAAAGGTGACTGGCAGGGAACTGTAACTACTCAGATGGGTGTAGAGAATCCAACAAAGGATTGTCATTATTGACAAGCACTGGGACTA